AATTTCCGAAACATTTCCATCTTTAACCATTTTACCTTCTTTCTTAATTAATTCATCATCATCATCTTCTTCAAAGACGTCGTACACTGCATGCGAGAAAATATTACAATCAACTTGATAATGGATTATTGTCTATCAGATTGTAGATATACGAAAAAAAAGTAAAAAATTTTTTACTATAACCTTAATTAAATTTTTTTTATAAAATCAAATTCCAATTATATATAAATTATATACCAAAAATTGATGTGTCACATAGTACTGTTAACTACCACTCTACATATTCGCTGCCATAAATTTTTTATAATAATTTTACTGTAACAAAATTCCAGAACGGCTCCCTAAGTCATCAGGTGGGACTGTTACAGAATGTCATCGAGCAATTATATTAATTTGGCTGTTAAGCAGGGGGTCATGCATCTGTAACCTTTTATTTCGTGTCACATATGTACGTCACTGATAGACATTGCTGACAATATATACGTAAGCACTTACGAATGACTATTCGCCAAATTTTGAAATTTTGATTTTCAAAACTTTTCTCCGCTGGGAATGTAATATATTTGATAAAATAGTTATTTTATTAAAATTATATTGTTTTGTATTGAACAATAAACAAAAAAAAAATAAAATAAAATAAGATTAAATAAAAATAAACTGCATTTTTCTATAGGCAAAACAAATAGCGCATAACTAAAACATTCTTCATATATACTTCATAAAGAGAAATATGGAGAAGCCATTTCTTGTAAATATTAAATTCATTTAAATTAATTTGATATTTGTGAATAGAAAATTTTTAAGTAATCTTAATCTTTTATTCTTTTAGGATGATCAATTATTCCATCTAATGTTGGGAGAATTTCCTGTCAAGTAATTTAAATTTTTTTATGTCTTTGTCGCTTTTATTATTAAATTAAATAGATTAAAAATTTTATTATTTGAGATTTTTAATCATTTACTTTTTTTCTTTTGCTAGTTTTGCTGATGATAGTAGCGGGTTTGTAATAGAACCACCGCATAGTCCTTTTAACAATTATACTACGCAAGAGTTCGGCGCAATTCGAAGTAACGCCCTTAAAATAAATAATGAAACACAATTATCAACGTTATTACGATTTCATGTTGAACAACATAAACTAAAACGATTAGAATTTCACGATGCTATTAAGAATGAATACGAAAGGGAAATCAAATCAAAACATGATGAACTGAAACTATTGAGGTTGTGTGGCTTTGATACTAAAGACAAAAACATTAATGGACTATTCTTTGAAGAAGATGATGATGATGAATTAATTAAGAAAGAAGGTAAAATGGTTAAAGATGGAAATGTTTCGGAAATT